TGCATCCGACATGGCCTTCTGACCCAATATCCGCCGTTGCCCTGTCAGCCAGAACAACTGGCGATGTCAGCCAGCCGCTTACTCAAGCCGCTCTGACCAGGAAAAAGTGCAGTCACCGCATGCCAAGCTGTTCACAACCCAGCGTGCATGGTGACGCTAGCATCTGCCCTGCCAGGTACAACCCCACTCTGAAGGGCGGGCGAGGAGGCCTTCGGCCCAGCGGGTTCGCTTTTACCGGGGTTGCCTGAAACACTGAAGGGGGGGTCAATGTGCCTCCTGCTCCAGGCGCACTAGTGCCCTGGAAGCAGTGCAACTTTCAGCAATCCCGGTAAAAAGAACTGCGGCCGCTTCGGACGAGCTTTGTTCTTTTGAGGTTTCATGTTTGGGTTCAAGCTAGGCGCAGTGCGACATGCCTTAACGCTTAGGGTTTCTTTTCCCTTGTGTTTAGGGCATGTGGTGAATCGAACTATGCGTTGGCCGTTTTGCTCCTAGCCTTGACCCAAACCTGCGGTTTCATTTCTGAAACCCACCCACCCGCCCTGCACTGCCCTATGCCAGGCTTTGCCAGGATATATAGCAGTTTCTCTGCACTTTCGTGGGTCGCCTCCGGGCACTTTGGTCTCCGGACCAGGTCTCCGGACCATTTCGGCCTCCGGACCTCGAGTCTCCGGACTGTCGGTCTCCGGACCTTGGGGCGTGGGCACGCCTGCCGCGCCCCCCCCAAGCACTGCATTTACACGCAAGGACACGCATTGTCTTGCCTTTTCACTTTTCGGGGGGTCAATGTGCCTCCTGCTCCAGGCGCACTAGTGCCCTGGAAGCAGTGCAACTTTCAGCAATCCCGGTAAAAAGAACTGCGGCCGCTTCGGACGAGCTTTGTTCTTTTGAGGTTTCATGTTTGGGTTCAAGCTAGGAGCAGTGCGACATGCCTTAACAACTTGGTCGATTCGCGCAAACATCTGAAAAGGAAGGAGTCGAGCAATGATAGAAGGGATGTCGTCGCCTGGCATGAGTGTTGAAGTGTCAAGTAGAATGTGCATTTCTTGCCAAAGCTGCACGGATTTGGCCACTGCATTCAACACACCTCGACGCGGAACTCACCTTGTCTTGTGAGTTGCAAAACTGCTCACAGACAAGTGAAGATTTTGGTGCCTTGATTACTGTCACTCCCAGCTATTTGATCAGGGATCGAAGCTTGACTAGGAGTGATGGAGAAAATGTCCACAGCAACTCCTTCAGGCTGAAGAAAGTCCGGCGCTCCTTGCAAGATGGCTTTTCCTTTTGCAAGATGCGTTCGCTCCTCCGGAGTGAGCATTCCCACAGGGTCCTCCATCAAGAGAATAAACAGGGGGAATCGCAAGAACGTGAAAACGCGGATCCAAAGATCCAGAGAAAGGAAAGCAGAGGCGCCACCTCGCTTGGTGGTAAGCGTGTTTGACTCACAAAAGGGCAGAATATGCAATTGCCCACCTAATGTAATTGAAAAACCTTGAACCTCCACGCGCAAAGGAAGCAAGATCTAGTAATGTCACAATGAGCCACCTGAAACTTGAGCCAAGGCTACGGAAAAACGCCCTCTACGTTTCACGTAAAAGTTGTCGATTTTCTGTTAAGAAAAGTTGCCGCAAACCAGGCGGGAGTCGAACCCGCGACCGTTCGACTCAGAGAGCAGGCGCGCAAACCATGCGACAACTTCCCAAGACCAGTTCTTAAGCGACTTACAAGTTGCGATGTTTTTGGCAGCCAAAGATGCGGAGGTGCGCTCCCGGAGCTGCGAAAGTGCGCTCCGCGTACTGTGTTTGCGCTTACAAATTGCACTTTTCGAGTCGGAGCTGCACTCCGCGCGTTTGACGTAAAAACTGCGATTTAGAAGTGGAGCTGCAGTGTACTCCGCGCACTACGTTTGTCCTTGAAAGTTTCGCTGCGGGAGCGTTCGCCACGCACTACGTTTGCGCGTAAATGTTGTCGATTTCTGTCTAGAAACGCTGCCGCGGACGAAGGCGAAAATCGAACCCGCGACCGTGGACTCCGAAAGCAGGCGCGCAAACCACGCGACAGCTTCCAAAGACCAGCTCGCAGGCAACTTAAAAGTTGCGATTTTGCAGCGGGAGCTGCGCGTTACTTAAAAGTTGCGATTTTGCGCAGGGAGTGTACTACGTTTGCACTTCAAGTTGCGATTTTTGAGCCGGAGCTGCGGGGGTGCGCTCAGCGCGTTTGTGTGTAAAAGCTGCGGCTTTTCTAGACAGAAATCGCAGCTTTTACGTGCAAATGTGGTACGCGGAGGACGCTCACGCAGCTGGAAAATCGTATCTTCTAAGTACAAACGTAGTGTGGAGCACACGTCTGCGGCTTCATTCAAAAATCGCAACCTTTACATACAAACGCGCGGAGTGCACCCCTGCAGCTCCGGCTCAAAAATCGCATTTTGTAAGTGCAAACGTAGTACGCGGAGTACACTCCTGCAGCCGGCTGCAAAATCGCAACTTTTAAGTACAAACGTAGTGCACCTTTGCAGCTCCGGCTTCAAAATCGCATGATACTCAAGTACAATTTGCGCAGAGCAACTTGCCCAGAGCAACTGCACAAAGCGTCGTTGCACAGAGGCATCATGAGAGTCATTGCGCAGCGTCACCATAAGAGTCATTGCGCAGAGTCATTATGAGAGTCATTGCACGGAGTCACCATGAGAGTCGTTGCACAGAGTGATCATGAGAGTCATTGCGCAGAGTCGTCATGAGAGTCATGGCACAGAGTCATCATGAGAGTCTTTGCGCAGAGTCATCATGAGTGCTATTGCAAAGTGGTTTCTGCGTGAGCGATCTTTTTGCTCCTTTTGCTGTAGCTCCTCTTGCTGTAGCTAATGGCTGTTTGTAGCTGACAGACTGCGCATCGAGCAAAAAACATGCGTGGGAATGATCAAGGGTCTGTGATGCTTTCGGGCCAGCCGTGGTCTAGTTTGTTTTGCTTAATTTGTGCTGCTCACTGCCATCGCCTTTTGGCAAGCAAAGCAAAGGAACCTGCAAAAACTTCAAGCAAACCGTCTTAGTACGATTATTGCAGCGTGGTTTGAAGTTATTCATTTGCAAAAACGAGTCAACCTTCTTGATCCTTTTTGCATATTTCCATATTATCAAATTTACTTTGTGTCCAAACTGGAACTGAGGTCATGACCCAAACCTTTGGAGTTTTTCCCATTTTGATTTGCTTTGCGTGAAATTCTGTGTGCGTGTGTCTTTCTGATTTTGTGTTTGCAATTCTGTGCGTGTTTAAAAAGGGCCCTAAACCAGAATTTTGAGTATCAATTTGCTACTTTGACATGGATTGTGGTTTGTGTGGCATTTGCAGTTTGTTGTAACCTTTTACAAAGCCTGCTTTATCGTCGCGGGTGGAAGCGGAGCTTGAGATAAGATGTCATCAGATGGAGACGGCTCCTTGGGATTGCGACCGCTAAGTGGTGGCGAAGCCCGAAATAAATGTCATCAGATGGAGACGGCTTGGAAGCCTATTGGAACCTGAAATTTCGGAGCGGCAGGGTGAGTGACACGTGAAGTCACGTATCCCTGCTTGCAACAATCAGTCTTTGTGGCGTGTTTTCTGTGACTTTGCAGCACAGAGGTTTGTTGAGTATTTTTGCGTGCTGGCAAAACTTGCTTGTGCAAATACTGAAATGTCCGTAGACAATTAAACTGTAACCAGTTGCTGTCTGCACGGAGCAGAAGCAGAGGTTTGTTGGGTAATGTGGCGCAATTCAGGCAGGCAGAGCTTGATGGCGTGAAGGAAATTCAGGACCTGCAACGCAGGAACTGGATACCAGGTGTCCTCAAAGCTTCATGAGTGCGAAGTTATGCTAAAAGACTTCTGAGAGGACTCATTGAATCCCTCATTTTGCCAACCACCAAGGTCCAGGTGTGAAGCCACTCAAAATTCTGGCATTCGCGTTGTGAGTGTTCTGGGTTAGCTGGGATGATGCCGGACGGCGTTCACGCCATGCTTCGCGAAAACAATCTCGCGACAAGGGCGGCTTTTGCGTCCTTTTTCCAGGCACGAAGGATCCTGATCCAGCTTTGCCAACGGGAAACAACGCCAACCACGGGGCCATGGCGATCCTCGGGTGGCATCAGCAGGCTCCGCATCCATGATGAACAACGGCAGAAACGCGAACTTGCAACGTCAGCACCAGGTCAAGCAGTCACCACCATTAGGAATATGCAGGGGCGTGCACCTTTGGCATAGTGCACGCAGCACGCAATGAAGCTATTGCCAAAGGTGGGATGGGCGTCCAGACGTGGACACCTGTACCTGATGATGTGCACTTGGATGACGTGGTCATGGTGGCATCGTTAGTGATGGATGTTCTGAAGTCCTTTTGGTGCCCTCCCCAAATTGCTGTTGCTTGATGTGTCCCTGTTCCAGTAGGTAGACGAAAACCATTTCGCAACCAGCAAGTGTTGCCTGACTCAACTACCACACTCGAACTGACAACTCGACGATTCATTCGGAAGGTCAGATTTGCCCTCGGGAGTTCAAGCGTGTGCTTTTGGGTGCAGAAGCGTGTTTTGCGGCGGAGGATCGACAAACATGGCGGCAATATGCTTTTGGGCTCCCACTCAAGTTCTGTTGTTTGCGTTCACACTTTTTTCATTTGAACAAGAAGGAAAGCAGCACCAAAAAAAACAATATGTTTTGACAACACAGGACATCCTTCAAAGCACACATTTCACAGCGACACATGCTGATGTTTTGGATGTTTTCTTCGGTGCTTCGGCCTTCCTGGCCAAGGGTCCTCGAATTGCCGTGACGAAATTGTGTGGTGCTTTTGCTAGGATTGTGGACTGGGTGATTCTTACGGTGAGCCCCTGATGGGGAAATCACGTGGCAGTACTGAACAACGGTTCAGAAAGATGCAAGCATCCTTGTGCGTGCCTGTCTTTCAGTACACATTTGTTGAACAAATTATTTGTTTTGTGGTGGGCGTACCTCGAGCATTCGTACTGAAATTGAGCCTTTTGGCTCAAAGTGACCATGCCGAAAGCTCTCTACCAGGTGCCGATTCACGATCATGTGCCACGCCTTTTGGAAACGATCGGGTACCCGAAGCGTCCCAATCTTGGCGACAAGGACGGCTTTAGCCTTTGTTGGGGCCGGTTTCAGGAGGAACTGTCGCAAAGGCCGCTGTTTGACGGCCAAGTGGTGGCAGCATTGCGGCGGCAAGGAGCTATTGTGTTGAAGCTAGGAACCATTGAGGAGCAGGTCACACCAACTCCGGAACAGCGCAGGGTCGGACGCTGGGCCGAATTTTCAGAGCATGGCCGCTGGTATGCGTTGGGACTCCCGGTGAAACGTCAGCGACTTGAAACATGGCTGGTCGCTTGTCATAGTTGGCCTTGGGATTTGGCCTCAGGATGTTTCAGCAGCATCAGCAACCTTGCACATGGCCGGCAAACAAAGCGAAGGTTTGCTCAACAAGATGCGTTGCAGCAAAACGTTGAAATGCGTTGCAACCAACTGTGAAACAAGCACGGGGGGGGGAGAGGTCAATCAAGATGGCCACTGCATTGTTATTCGGTTTTGGGTTCACTGATTTGGTCCAAGATGTTCCTTTCATAGCGAAAGGAGGGAAAACAAGAAGCAAATGAAGCACACCCCCTCCAGAAAAGGTCCATGTAAGGCGCTTTGGCAAGGGAACGCGCTCATTTGACTGACCATGTCGTTGATGACAGCAATTTGTAGAATGACCACTTGAAACGCGGAACGCACAGTTGCCTGTCAACAGGCTCGAGGATCACCGCACGAGACTCAATATTGAATTCAGATTAAACTAGACCTCCTGTGTTGAGCTTAGGAAGCGAGGCCAAATCTTCCACGATTCTGGGTGCCATGACTTGACAAGGAAACGACCATGTCACGGCGGTCTCTGACTACCTGTCACTTGCCGTGGCCGTCCAGTTGGTCCTTCTCCTACCAGATGATGTTTGCAATGTGCACTCCTTCGAGCAGCTCTATGGCGGTCGCTTGTTGACAGACATCATTCCGCAGACCGACTCTCGCTTAATTTGCACGTTGCACTCGTGCGGGCTCTTGCCGTTTCACTTTGGCTTTTGGGGCTGTCTGTTTTTCAGGGCACATGCGCGGTCTGTGCTTTGATCGGCAGGTGCATAAAACCTTTGACGGCAAACAACGAAAGATTGACCACACCAAAGATGCGGAAGACATGATGCGGCTGCACGCAGATGACGCAGATCACGTTCTTCGGTCGCCGCTGCAACTTTTGACATGCATCAAGAATGCGACTTAGCCACACTTGATCATGTTCCGATTCTTGCTTCACTGTCAACTCATGTCAATCTGCAAAGAGTATGGTGCCCAAGAAAGCCTTCTTTCCAGGCGGGACACAAAATGTGACCATGGTGCTTCAAAAAAGTACCCTAATTGCAATCCAATGCAGGCTGAGCATTTGTGTATTGATCATTGCCACACAGAGAGAGGGGATGCCTTTCCCTCGGCGTTGCCTGGTTCATTTGAATACTTTGATTTGGGGCCCGTTTCCAAGAATACGTTTGGGTCGGTGGGAAGTCCTTTCAATCCACTTGGCTCGGGTTTTGATGTTCATCAATGACCCTGTTCGTTAGGTGAAGCGCACGGAGTCGGTGTTCGCCTTGATCCCGCCAGACTCGACGCTGGGGAAATATGACATCGACAGCCGAACGCTACGCAGAGACATCTACGAGCATGCCCCGCCGAGCCCTGGCGCTACAGAGCGTTTCGTTCTGTTGAAGTGCAGTGACAGGCTTCCAATACTTTGCTTCAACCCCAGCAATTCTTCCCTGCGAGGAATGTGTAGGGTTTTCTTCTAAAGAACCAAGGCCTTTTGGTTTTGAAGTCCCTTGTTCTTCGAGTGGATGCCACCACTCACAACAAATGTTCAGCACATTTGGCACAGCAAGCCCCCCTGCCCGGCAAATCGGCTTGCCAGACGTTCTTGAGTACCAGTTGGGTGCTGTGCCAGATAGTGCGATTCAGATCAGTTGCGCTTTCCAATGGGCTCGCATTGTGTTCAGCCTCTTCCACTCTGATTGATACTTCGGCAGCCGGCGTGGGTACTTGCTTCCTGTTCACCATTCCCTCTGAGGGCCTCCTTGGTGGACCTGAAAGACCGGCCACCGCGCCGGCCAGTGCTCTTCGGGCCGGCTGATGCACCCAGCATCCAAGCGGACAAGAAGGGCACCAAGGCAAGCGAGGGACCGGAGAAAAGCAAGGCGGATGAGGCGGCTTGGCGCATGTTCACTGTTTGCCTCTAGTGGAAATCACCTGGAGGTGTTTTTCTTAGGGTCTTAGGGGACCCACCAAAATGATTGTTTTCGTTTGGCTTTCCTTCAACACAAGAAAGACACACCCACTTTGATCTTGTACTTGAAGCTTATGCCAGCTCTGGCCTTGGTTCATGGTGTCAAAGGGAATTCAAAGATCTCCACACTTTGCCTGTTGCGCAAGCGCACCCCAGGCTCTTACGTCCCTGTTTTCCTTCCTGGAGAAAGAGGAGAACCTCTGCAGCTTTGCTCAAAAGCGACAACTCTTGCGGGTGAAGCGCTCTGGCATGTTCTGAGCCCTCGAAAGTGGGTGGCTTTCTCTTTGGCTTTGGGATGTACAAGCGCACCCAAACAAACACACCGCCATGCGCCTGGCCGTTGCGAAGTTGCGAAAGGCCGGGTGGTCCTCGGCCCCGGCGATGTGTTGGTGCTGGACAACCTGCGGACCCTACATGGCAGGGCGGCCTTGCAGCCAGTTCCACGCAGGGAGGACCGCCGTGTCTTGGGCAAGACATTTTTTTTCTTCTCCAGATGGGAGTTTCTGCAAATGGTGGACCCCGTTTGGTTGTTATTTAAAGGGAAACCAAAGCGATGCCAACCATTTCAGAAAGAGCCTATTGCGAGAAACACCCGGATGGCACAGATAGCTGAAAGCTAGAGGGGTCACCTTTGTGAGCATTCAGCGTTGTTAAGCAGGTGTAGTTGCGGCATGGAACAGCGGAGGCTTCAGACGGGCAGAGAAGAGAGCTCCCCCAGCGTGTGCTGATCCGGTGTTGGAAATGCGGATAATGGCAAAAGCCATTAAAAAGTGTCGCTAGAGCAGTTCTGTTCGTTGTGTGGATTGATACGCATTCGCCATCTCAGCGCTTCTTGCCTCGGAGTTGGGACGCCACGTGCGATCTGTTTTGCAGACCACGCGCCCAGGCTGGGTGAAGCGCCTTTGGCTGTCCTCGACCACCATGGAGCCGCTGCTTTCCAAGTGCAGCACTTCCGCCCATCCCCGCTGCTTGCTTGCAGGGTCGGTCTTGCAAGTACTGTTTGTTTTGGCAACGAGGTGTGCGACCCCACAAAGTTTCCGGCTAGATCCGGCTAGTGCACTGCTTGGGTTGGCTCTCCGTTAGTGTCCTGGCGGATCAAACTAGCATTGACGACGCTCCACCCAGCCCACTACCCCCAAGGAAACACATGGGGTGTACACTGGGGATACAACCACCATTCAATACATCAACAGGATACAAATATACACTCCAGCGTTCCTTGGCCGAAGTGCTTTTGGGGACAGTGAAACCCCTCTCGGAGGAGATGTTAGTGTCAGGGCACGAGAAACACGTGCCCTGGAGTTTTGGCGCGAACCTTCCAGCTTCAGGTGTCTTCGACAGGAACAAGGCCTTTTGGTCAAGCACTGAAATGAAGCACCCCCAGCTGGCGGCAGGCCGCCTGCAATCGTGACTCTGAAGGGGACCGGAGATGGCATTCTTCCGGGCTCCTGAAGGGCTCTTGGCTATGGCCCTGTGTAATTGGCAGCCTGCTGCTTGCATGGCTTTGGATATGGCGTTGCTGAAGCCCTACTGAGCGTGGAAGATCCATTGAAGCAACTTTCTGCTCCGGCGTGCCTTAACAACTCGTTCCAGACCAAAGCAATTCATGCGCCCCCCCCTGATCGCATGCGCATGCCGTGTACGGTAATGCGTGGCGAAACCAGGGTCTCAATTTACATGTTAACGCTCAATTGATGGCACGTTGCATGCAATTTCCGGAATTCATGCTGCAACACAGCATGCGTGGAGCTTCCCTTGTTCTTTCCCAATGAGGAAGCCAAGTGTTTTTTTGTCCGATGGCGGGAAAATACACATGTGTCTCGAAATTTGTCTCGAAATGACTTCACGTGACATGCAAGATTTGTGTTGTACCTCCAGTTGCTATTTTGTTTGCTTTCGACTCCCGCTTGGAGAACCAGGAAACACGGCCAGCAAGTCGACGATCCATCATTCTGCAAGGGAATCAGTCATGCGAGCGAAGAACAATCTTCAGCACATCACACGGCGAGGAGTGCAAGAGTCACATGGAATTTCAGCAAGCAGTTTCACCCTGATTCAAGTCCTCTAGCTCACATTCATCAACTGTTGCACTCATATGTTGCTGGCTTTGCTTGCTGTGAAGAGTCTTGCTGCAGCCATTTGGCAGTAGAATTTAATACAAGCTGTGGCACAATGAAGCCTGCGCCAGCCATCCGAAAGCTTCCTCCAAGCGTCATCGCGCATCTTGGTGACCAAATGCTTTCGGTGGCTTTGCAATTTGTTTGAAAGCAGCCCTGTATTTGAGTCCCTTAGGCCATTTAAAGGATGCTTTGTTTTTGGATGTATAATTCAGGTTGATTCATGGCGTGGAGCTGCAAGCTGAGTTCATTGCACAGTGCGAGGCAGATTCGCGGAGGAGTTTTGGTTCCGCATCTTGCACGCGTGGCAGAAGAGTTGGTCTTGAATGCGATCGAGGCTGACGCATCCTCAGTGGAGGCGCTCCTTTTTGTGTTAAATGCACTCCCTTAGTCGATGGGATGTGGCAATGGAGTGCGCATGTCTTGTTCAGGTAGAATTACAAGAGGCTTCTGTGGGATGCGCTCTGGAAGTGCGAGACAATGGCCGCGGAATTGCCCCTGAGGCATTTCTTGCACCTGGAGAGATTGCATGCGATGCAAATCAAACAAAAGTCTGCTGCACCTCTTGGCCCATTCGCGTGACAGGATTTCATGTACCTGGGCCAGCGCGGTGCGAGAAGCGGCGCCGGGCGAGGCGAGTCTTTGGCAGGGACGATCGCGCGGTATCAGCGCGTGGTGGTGCAGTCGAAGGCGAGAGGGTGCAACAGGTGGCCAGCCAAGCAATCTTTGTTTGGGAGGGCAGTGTTTTTGAGTGTTAAGACGAAAGAAAAGCTGCAAACCACCACTCCACCAAGACGCAATTGGCAAGGATTCTGAATAGGGTACCTGGGTACCTGCCAACTCAAACGAATCCAAAGGGTCCCAAGTTCCACACGAGAGGTGCCCGGTCAGCAGACCTGGATCAAAGCCTTCGAGGGCGGCCAAGCGCGCTGCGGCGCCGCCGCCCCGCGGGGAGCCCGGGGCACCACCGTCCGCCTGGAGGCGGAGAGCGGCGCCCGGAGCCAGGCTCCGTGGGCCCCCTGGTTGGTTTAACGGTTTTTCAAGGGAAACAAAAAGGGGGGCTTGGCTCCCCAAAATTGGGGGTCCAAGTGTGTTGTGTTGTTCCGACACTTTGGGGTTAGTCTCTTTGTTTTGGCTTTAAAGAGAAACCAAAAAGGAAGCCATCCATTTTGGGCACCCCAATTTGGAGACACACACAGAGTCCCAACGCGAGATCAGGTGACCGCCGTGCGCCGGCGCCTGGAGCGCATGGCACTCCTTCGGCCGCAGCTAGCGATGCGCTTCTCGACCTCGCCATCGAAGGCGCGCGCTTGTCGGCCCGCTCTCTCGGGGTTGGCGCGAGCCAGTGCTCGTGGATGGACAGAAATGGCGACCGGCACCAGATGGGATGGAAGTTGTGTGAATACAGGGTTTTGGTCCATCCACCGCAATTTGAGTTTGCATGTCCGAGCACTTGCCCAGAGGCGGACTCAATTGAGCTGGAGCCGGAGGACACGACTTCCCGCGTGCAGCATATTCTGGGATTGGGATGTGCGCGTGCGCTTTGCAGGCAGGTGACAAGCACATGTGAACCCCAAGCTGCCCTTCCTAGGGACAAAGTTTCCCGGGGGTCAGGGGCTTTGAGTCTCCTCGGGGATTGGCTTCCCCGCACAGGGTGCAGTTCTCCTCAGAGCAAGCCGCCTGCGGCCTGGAAGGCCTGGCGTGTCCGCTCGCTTGGGCAGCGCCCCTATTGGTCATTTTCCTTTTCCTGGTGTTGGTAGAACCAAACGTGGACGGGCTTTGAGCGCTGCTCACTTGGGGCGTTGTCATCCTCAAGACAAAGATGCGAGGGATGGGCCAGTTGCGCTTCGTGTCATATTGCCGCATGTCAGCTGGATCAGGCGTCATATCAAGGCTTCAGGATGGCCATGCCAGCGATCAGTTCATGTTCCTGTACATCAATGGCCGTTTCGTGGAGCAGACCCCAATCCATCAGTCCATCGCGAACTACTATGCCACTGGCAGCGTCGCCGCAGGCTGGGGATCTTGGGATCTCGCGTCCAGCCAGTGCATCAGCGTCACCGAGTCTGCATGGAAGGCAGAGGCCCAGCTTCGGTGGCTGCAGTGGCGGCCGGGGATGTGCATCCCTTCTTTGTGCTGAACTTGTGCTGCGCCCTGGCAAAGGTGCAAGGCTGCTTGCTGAACATGCCAAGCCGTGCATGTCCAATTGGCTTCAGTGGAATTCTTGGCTGACCGCGTGTTCAATTCCAGCTTGCCCATAGAAACAGACGGCTGAGCCGGTGATGGCTCTGGAAGAGTTGATTGCCGATCCTAGCGAGATCTAATGCCAAAGTGCCTCTCTTTGTGCTCTCCCGGTCAAAGGTCCAATGGAGTGGTACGACTTGGACTTTTTGCCAGACCGGTCTCAAGTACAGTTGCTTCCTCAGAGTGACGGAATGTTCTTTTGGGAACGATCCGTGCCCTTGATGTTGAAGACTCCAAGTACGGGGGCTGAATGATGGTAGCACTGTAGCACGTGTCCCCAAATACTGGCGTTTTTCTTCGCTCAGGATTTGGAGTGTTTTCCGAAGCGTGCTGTGAGGTTTAGAGACTGGCATCAACCTGTGAGCTACATCTTGGAGTGTTTGCAACAGCTGTGGCTCGCGTGCAGCAAGCATCCTGAAAGCAAGTTGAGAAATCATGGTTTCCTGCCCCCGAAACTTTGCCGAACGTGTCTAGGCAAGAAGCCGCTCATTGTCAGCATCAGCCGAATCCTGGGAGGCCTGGTGCTTAGATCAACCGCAGAGCAGAGGCGCTAACTCTGAGGACTGCAAAGAGGAGCTCGACCGACTCACCCAGAAGGACAGCAAATCGAGATGTGTGCCGAGTTGCTCAAAGGGCACGCCTGGTTTCCGCAGGAGTGTGCAGGAGTCGCAGAAGCGAGCTTGCACGCGCTCCCTCAAGTTCTGCCCGGCCTGAGGTCACAGCATATGCAGTCAATTCGATCAGCGGAATCTATGGAATTCATGCATCACTGGAATTCGGATGCGGTGAATTCGGTGCAGCTCTCACTTGTGTAACCACTCAGGCTATGTTCAGAGCAGCCTCTGTCCAAGCTCGTTGCACTTAATTGGATGTGCAAAAATGCCTCCGTCTCCAAATCATTCCGGTGCATGGACGGCTCGCCCCTTTGCGATGCACAGTTTAAGGTTCAGAGCCGTTTCTGGTGATCAAGGTCCTGCATGAACAATGAACTGTTGAGATTGGCAGAAAAAGGCAATCAAACAAGTCCTGAGATGTTTGACTCATTTTAAACTTCCACCCAAGCTGGAATTCCAATGTTCAATGATTCTGCTCCTTGTTAAGCCAGTTGTGTGATGGCGGATGTGCTGCAACTGCCAAGCTCTTGCAACTCAGCCCTGTTTACCCGTTCTGCTGCTCCAATTCTGCGGGCACAGCATTCACCAAGCTAGACTTTACCCCAGGGATTGTTGTTCACCGAAAAACAACGGGGAACAATGGAACCCTAGCAGCATTGAAGATTTCGCAGAGCCAGGCCTTTGCAAGAAAGTGCGGTTTCTGGCCAGCATCTCAGAAGGTTGTGCTGGGGTGGCTGCTCGATTCGCCACTTTTTGGGCGGCCCCCCTTTTTTTTTTTGGGGGGGGGGTTGTTTGTGTGAGTTGCTTTGTTTATGAGTGTCCCCCACCTTCCCCCCCGCAGTGGCTGCGTCTATCAGGCACCAGTGGACCGCGAGCGCTCCTGGTTAGCCTGCCATTGTGCGTTCCTCATGTGAGTGGGGGCAGAGGAGTGTTGGCAGGTGCAGAAGGCTATATTCTTTGAATGAGTGTTTCCGTTTTGGTTGAATTGAGTATCCAGCTAGGTGTGTCGCTCCAAGCGCAGAATATTTTGTCCATCCGCCTATTGTACCTTGTTCGCGGAAGCTCTTGTTCGCGGTAGGTCCAGATTGCCGACGAGCTCATGGTGCAGCATGGGTACCCCTGGTGCCCCTGGTGAAGGGCCTCGAACTGCATGGGGCACGAGGCTGGGATGAAGTTGATGAAGTGGAAACACCTGGGGTTCATCTGGTTGATTGCTAGGGGTGGCTGTCCCGTTTGAACAGGTGAGTCCGGATCTCAAGTTAGGGGAAGGCTGGTAGGTTGATGAATGCAAAGCAACGAGCGGCAAAACATATATTGGCCGACTGTCCGGCGTGCCCTTTGCTTTGGCTCCAGTGTGGTCAAGCTAGGGCTGCTAGAGCTTTTGTCAATCAATGAGAAGCAAACAGCCCAGCGCTGCTTGATGTGGAGATTGCAGTGAGTCCCACTTATCACCATCTCGGTGCCAGGTTCATTGAAGGAAGGACCCTTCTCAACCTGCTCTGGGCTTGAAGGTCTGCCGATTCGTGTTGCTTGTGGGGTTTGCATCGGCATTGAACTTGCAGTGTCAATTTTGGCATCATGTTGGAACGCTTTGAACCTCCGAATTGCACCTGCTCGACTGGATCACTTCGTGGATGGATGCAAGTTGCATCGATTTGTGCCTTTATGTATGCGCCCTGTTGAAGGCTCGTTAAATGCAGAAGTGCGCCGGCACTTCTGTCAGTCGCCGTACTCCTAGCCTCGGCTAGTGGGGCATGTTGATTCTTTGAAGCCGCTGAACAATCCCAGAGCCCAAAGGTGTGGTAGCACTTGCCTGGTGTCGCTGCACATGGAGGGACAGGCCCGGCCAATATGTTAGGTATGGAGTCAGTGACAGTGTTGCCTGATCCACACACTGGAGTGACAATTTGGCCTGGAGGTGCGTTGCTCCTTGCTTCCGGCTGGGGCTGGCAACTAAGCAACAGGGGAGAAAATTTTGCAAGGCCGTGTGCAAGCATGGGCATGCTGAGGTCTTATCGGACAAGGACTTCCCCAAGGATTTTTGCCCCAAGCTGCAGGACAGAAAGACCTTTGGTTGTTGCTCTCAGACTCAGAGTACTTAAGTGTCGTGAACATTGACAGTGGCTCAAGTCTGACATCCTATCATGGCACAGGACCTTGGAACGCAGTCCCCGGCGCCCTTTGGGCCTTTGGCTGGGCCGGGCCCTTGCCGTCATGTCATGCACGAATGCTTTCATCTTCTGGCATTCGACCTTGAATGTACATTCGAAACGGTTTATCACATGCCAGTCAAGGGTTTGGGTTATACCAGGATCCTCCTAGTGCCCCAAACCCCAAAAACCTTTTCAACCAGGTCTTGGCGTGCGCGTCCGAGGCCCGTGTTCAGCAAAAACCCCGGCCTTCCGATCCTGGGCTCCTGCCTTTGCGGGCGGTGCCGCTTCAGGAAGGGAATTTTGTCTTTCGTCTTTTTTTGCGGGGAGTTCGACGCGTCTGACCCAGGATTTCCAGAGAACCGGACATGTGGATTTTCTTTTTTATGTTCAGAGCTGAGCATGGGCCCGTGTTGGGTCCCGACCCCTTGTTGCAAGACTGTGAATCGACACCCTTTTGATTGGTATTAAAGGGACACCAACAAGTTGGTGGGACACCAACAAATTGGTTGGTATTGGGGTATGGGTCAAAATTAAACCACCGGTTTTAGGCTATGTTTCCACTTGCCAGGGTTCCATTTTGGGTACCCATTTTTGACCCACATCCATTTCGGTTGAACACCAAAAGGACACTCTGCAAATTGAGGCACCCCCGGCAGATGGTTCCAGACCTCGGCGCCCGTCGGCTCCGTTTTGGGCGCGCGCGTCAGGACGGTGCGGAGCCCCCGGGAGCTGCAGCACTGTCATTGCTCCATGCAGCGCCGGCCTGTGTCTTGGGACCCGTGGGGTTCGGAAGTTGGGTCCCAAGTTGCATTTGGCTTCCCAAAAAGGGAGGCTTCAAGGTTTCCCCTGTCAACGACCAGGGAAGAGGGGAATTTCGTTCATAGCGCTTTGATGGACCCAGTCGGTCCATTTGAGCACTGTGGAAGTTGGCAGGTGCCGACAAATCAGTGGGGCGGCATACCAGAGCCTTGGAGTTTAGGCAGACTTCCTTTCTTTTTGACCTTTCATTCCTTGTTGCCAGGGTTAGACTCTGCAGATTGCAAACAGCACTGGTGATTCAGGGGTCGCCTTGGACCTTGGGATGTGTGGTTCCTCGCTGCATGAATTTACTGAGCCTTCTGGTTTCCATGAGGACATGGACTCCTGTTCCCAAGATGGAGATGGAGTGGATCACACCGAACGCGCTCAAGACGGTTCGTGCCTCCAGGCATGTCTGCCGCGCCTCTTCGAGCGTTTTCCATGTGCGCACAAGTAAACGTGTGTCGGCATGCTTGTCTAAAGTTTCAAGCAAGATTTTCTGCTGGATGCATGCTGCCAGATTTCAGCTTAGAATTGTCACAGACTCATGCCCTTGAGTTCAACATAGGTGTTTCAAGCCTCTGTGAGAAGTCCTCGCAGTGGGGATCCTTGGAGTCTCTTTGTCAGATGGTTAGTTTTGTTGACGCAGCACAGGCACATGGGTGACAGGTGGGCGTGCACTGTGTTCTTCCTTTTTCTTTTGGGGTTGAGGGGAAACCATGAGGGCAACCACCAATTTGTTGGGTCCCCTTTCTAAACACGTACCCACATCCTGAACCGATCGAGCCCAGCTTCGCCTGAGCGCCATGGCCGCGACATGGTCCTCAGGCGGAAGTGGGACTTTCACAATTCCCGGGTCCCAGAGGGTATCTCAACATGGGATCAACTCTGAACTCCTTTCTGGCTGACGCGAAACTTCGGCTTAGTCAACCGCTGCTTGACTACTGGTTCCATTCAAGCTGTGGTTCGAATCACTTTTGGGAAATATCAAACTTCGAACCCTCAAACCACAACTTCCCCACCTTCGGACTCAAGCCACCAGGTGATGCCTGAAGCCCCGCAGGCTCCTCGGCGCGGCCTTGGCGAGGGCGGCGGCCGCCTGCTGTTGCGGAGCGGCTTGTGAGGCCGCGGCTTGGTCTCATTGGTTTTCTTTTGGCTTCCATGGCGTCTGCCAAAGGGGTTCGGACCTGCTGGGGCTTGAAGCAAGATGTGCGACGTGTGGCTGACACGCTGCCACATGGCAGGGCGCTGTCTCGAGGCTGCTAGGGGCGTTGTCTTTTTGAGCGTACCCGACTGCAAAAAGAAGAGGCACACAACCTTGCAGCCATGCAACCTGCACTCATTTGAGACCTGGATGCTCAAGATGGCCAGATTTTGGCCATGTCCAATGGTGCCACAGAGCCCGCTATGATGACCCTGATGAAGGTTTGGAGCAATCCTAATTTCCAATGGCCCAACACAATATTTTCGGCGGCACAACAAATTGACACCTTGAGCATCGCGGACACGAACGCTGGCACCGGGAAAAAGTTAACGAAAGCGAGCCGCTGATGCGTGGTGGGAATTAGCTCCTGGTGTGTGACACTGAGTCGGCTTTTGAACGAAGCGAAAGAGAAGGGTGAACTGGACAAAGAGCAATCCCGCGCTGTCTGCGGGATTGACAGTTTGTTAGGTTTTAATCCTGGGTGGAAAGGATCGCGCAACATTGCCAAGATGTTCCTCTCAAAGCTTTGCGCTGCAGGTGAAGGTCGGAAAGATCACAAGGTCACTTTGCGCTGTGACCTTTTCGGTCGTCGTGCCACCCGAAAACTTCAAGCCTGAGAATGCTTTGAGGATGCTTTCGGAAGGTCCTTGCAGTTTCCGACGAGAGCCCCTCGAACCGAGGGGACAGGGTTTGTGGTGCCACGCAAATGGTACCGGCGAATGGCGATGTTGCGGGCCCCACATGGTGTGACTTTGGGTAGGCACATGCATAGTTTGGGCCCCCTAAAGATGGAAAGCCACAGCTTCCTTATCCCGCTACACGTACCCAATTGTGCCAAAATTGGGATTTGGGCCCACAAATTGGGATGGTTGCCTGATTTCTAAAACCCCAAAATGGCGACCCAACAACGACCTTCTTTTTCGTCTTTGAATTTCAACAGACCCACGGATGCGTCGCCCCCAATGGACCCCCAGCCCCCAAGCTGCGAGGCGTGCAGCTCGGAGATCGAGGCCTTCGATGCCCAGTGCCAAGTCCTGGCCCGCGAGGCCTGCGAGCTGCAGATCGCCTGCCGCTGGGCCTCAGGCCCGTCCCGGTGGGGGCTTGGGGGTTTTTGGTTTTGGAGGCAAGGGGCGGGTTTCCAGATTCGTGGAAGGTGTCCCCGAAACGCACGCTGGGCGGTGTGTGTGTGTGAAGCCAAAAGCGGATCTCTAGATGGTCTCCCAAACCACCACAAGGCCCGCCTGCCGAACGCGCCCACCTCGCGCAGGCGAGCCATGCGACGATTGCGGCGCTGAACGCTGTGCGCCCAGCTGTCGGGCGATGTTCGAGGAGGCGTCTGGCGGTGTGGGCACTGGTCGTTTTGGATGGACATCCAAGCAGGGGTGTCATTTTTTTGGCGTCTCGTTGTGGGTGGCACTTGAAAGGACCAAAACAGGATGGAGGGGGCCATGCCAATGATTGAGTTTGCTTTGGTACCCTCCATCCTGCTAGGTGGTTCCCCTTGTCCCGACGGAAAATCAATCGAGACGTCAGAGAGACGGCCAGGGCTTCCAAAGCTTCCGGCGCTTTTCGGCATCTACCATGCTCATCATGGACGAGTGCCCTGCCTTTGAGCAACGAGTGTCTTGTGCTTTGATCAGGGTGGATGTGTCACTCCTTTTTCGAAGGTGATGACCGCTTTTTTGGGATGGCTCAAGAAGAGAGTTGCAAGGGACACCGCCAGTTTGCTTCAACAAATGACACACATCCAGGTCCGGCAAATGGGTCGGGGAGACCTTCACCGCCATGGAGAAGGAGCGGTTCACACAGACACGGACTCAACGAGCTTGTTTGCCATATTTGACAGTGGCTATGGTCCGCGGTCGCTAAGTTTCCCGCAAAGCAAAACAAACAGCAAAACAGGGGGCTCATTCTCATTTTCTCATCTTCACGGGCACCACCACAACTTGACCGTGGCTCATATTGGCATGCTGTCCTCGCTTGAGCCAACTGCAACTTCCGGCTGCCGTTGGTTCTGGTAAGGAAGGCCCAACATTCTGCCAACAAACGGCTCTTGGTGCGATCCGGTAGGAGGCTCTGATGGATGGCAACGCTGCTGCGTATCGGCGCAAGCAGGCAAACCAGAGACTGGACGAAGCCTCCGATGTCATGCTGTTGCTTGGCTGAGTTGGAGGTCTTACATCCTGCGAGCCTAGGCATTTGTGGACCATTCAACCTTCATTGCCATGAGAATGCTGTGCACCCTTTGTCAACAGAGACTCAAGCTGAGGCTCATCAGCGATGCCTCGCAGAAGGCAAGGCTTTGGGGAAGCACCAGATGTGTGACACGTCCGCCAGGTTTTGAACTGCTGGGCTCTGGATGGCCGCTTCTGGTACGTGCACCTGGTGCACCCCTACGTGGGCTTTCGCAGCAGCACCATGTGCCCGTGCTGCGGTTGAGGGAGGGGGGTTGGCCCCAGGCGCTGTGACGCTTTCCTGGGACAAAAGAGCTCTGCAAAGTGCAAAGGGCAGAAGCTTCCCGCATCCTGTTCCGAGATTGGTCGAATGAGAATTGCCGCGATGATCAAAAAGCCTGGCCTGTTAGCTTGTGAATGCAAGCTGTCGTCTGGCTCTGCAGGGCAGTGTTTGACTGAGATTCGTTATTATACGCGGAATTGGTCGAGTTTCAGCGTTCTCCTGAATGGCTGAGCATGATGTTAGGCATGTTTTACGCTGCAAGGGGGACCCCCTTCTAGTTGTGTCATGTTGTGGCTTTTCAACATACATCTAAGATGGCTTCCACTAGCCCCAAAACCAGCGCTTTTTCTTTTTTTTGGGGGGGGGGTGGGTGAAGCCATCTTAGAGCGCTAGGCTAGAGCGCAGAATTTTGAAAGTTACGAGTTGGCCGAGGTGCGTCCCGAGCTGCTGCAGTCAAGCCGGGGTGCCCAGACATGCAGAGGTCTTGTGAAGCGATGCCAGTCTTGTGCCACTTCTGTGGCTGAGCTGGAAGTCAAGTTGGGCATTGCTTTTGAACCGTGGGATCCTGGGAGGCGGTTTCAACGGACATGTTCAGAGAGGGCAGCCTTCGACCGGCCTTTGCGCCAAGAGGTTGCGTGTCCAAACGAGAGGCCGAGCTCGAAACGGAGCTGGCAGCGACATTCTTCAACCACCTGGCCAACACCTTCGAGGCCCAGATGTTCAACGTGACTTCCAAGGACGGATGCTGAGACTACCCTTGGGCTTGGAACCGAAGTCCAGTTTTGGGTCCAAATCCCCCTTTTGGACCCAGACCTGAAAAGCTGGGAAGAGCTGGGAGGTTCGGGGAGCTCGTGATTTGTTTTTCCTGTTCTGCTTCGCTTTCAATGCAGGAGGTGTCTCATTGGGCCGACCTGCCCTTGGATTTTCTCATCATCGGCTTGGACGGATGCGGCACCACCTCCTTGAGACGAAATCTGGCAAAGCATCCAGCTGCTTGGACGAATCAGCCGACTCTTCACCCTTTGTTTGGTCCGAAGCGCTTAGTTCTCGTGCTTTTGATTCAATCGCGTCTCTCTTGTCTTTGCTCCTACGCTATCTTCTTGCAGGCACGCGTTTTTAAGCAAAAGGGTTTTGTCGACCTGGGGGCAAGTCACGTGCTTGTCAAACCCTTTTGCCCGATTTTTCATGTGGCCACAAGGACCTCAATTTCACGCACCTCTCCGTGTTCAGTCAGGACATTGGTTTGCAACATGCTTCGAGAGGTGGCCATGGTTGCACTGGATCTTGTCATTCTCCGTCAGTTTCGTTGTCGTTTGGTTTCCCTAAAAACCAGACCGCAAAAGGGTAACCTCCGAAAACACTCTCCCAATACCGTTCGGAGAAGTTGGTTCGGGCCTGCGAGGACGAGGACTTTTTCATCATAGAGATGGGCCGTCAGACGCTGCCGTTCATGTGGCAGGCGCGTGACACACGTGTTGTGGAGACCAACCAACATGTGCCAAGAGAGGTATATGATGACCTCTTTTAGGGCTTTGTCTTAAGGGACCAGGAGAAGCTAGCGGGAAGCCAAACAAAAACCCAGGGGATCCAAAAAGGAACGAGGTCCTAATGTTGAGCAACGCCCAGGCATTTCTTTTTGAGGGTCACCATTGTCGTGGTTGCAACTAAAGAGAAACCAAAGGGCCAGCTGAAATCCGTGCTGATTCTTCGGGGCAAGGTTACATTTTAGGGGCCTCCTTTGTAGCTGTGCTCTTCGATGCACTCAGACATTGGGACGCTCGCTTCAGGTCCAACGCGTGGTGGAGCAGCGAGCTCGCATGCGTGGCCTGAAGCTGGGCATGTACCAGCCGACCATGTGGTCGGAGGAGAGGGCCTGGCCGGAAGTTGTTGGACGTCTTTTGAGGTTCAACCAAAAGCCGCATGGGTCCAAGGTTGGCTCAGTTGGTGGATGCCTGCTTGAGATCGGATGTTGCTTGCTTCGCGAATGGGACAAGGGACAGAGCAGTGTCTGAACCAATGCATACCCCAATTTGGTCTTGTCGCCACAGGATCCAAGTCCAGTCACAAAACGACCTAAGCGAGGAAGTCTTGGAGCACACGCTGGCATATCTCCCTGACCTGCGCATAGCCGTGTGCTCAGTGACGGGACTTGGTTTTTTTTTGAAGCGAGACCGTTCCATATGATTGTGCGTCCCAGAGTTAACTGCACTGTTGCTGGCCGGGCTGTCGTCTTTGAGATCGATTTATCTGGCAGTCCTCCTGAAATGCCCGCTGTTCTGCAGGGTTTCCCCATCGCGCTGGGACGGTCGCCAGTCCGCTTCCCGTCGCCGAGGTGGTGGCCGTGTGCGACCCGGTGGACCGCTTCGAGCGGAAGCTGCACCTGGAGCTGGAGCCGACGGGCGACTCCTTCGAGGAGACGGTGAAGCGTCAGGCGGCAGACACCAGGCACTCCCGCGGCTTCTGCTGCTGGCTTTCGGGGAGCAGTCGGGAGGGGGTCCTCTCGCTAGGAAGCGCATCAACAGCAGAGACAATATGGGGGATCAGAAGAAGTAGATTTGAGGGATCAAGACCAATTTGGATGTCGCTGATGAATATATTCATTCCGCACAATGCTTTAACCGGCCATTTCTTTTTTGGCCCAGTGGTGATCTATTCTTCCCTATTCCTTGACGGATCAGAGGACCCTCCACCAGAGCCTCCTGCCTTGCATTAACCCGTCCTTTGAGCAATCCTTCTCTGTTCTCTCTTTGACCTGCCGGTGCTACACCAAGGTGACCCTTTTACAGCACTGAAAAAAGCACGCTGAGCCCGTTGCACAAGATGGCATCCAGCGCAATCGTTTGACATCGACGCACCCGGAGCCGGCCTCCCCTCCTCAAGCCTTGAATTCCGCAGAGGAATCGCCGTGAAAAAGTCGGGATGATGCTGTGGATGTTAAGAACGTTCCCAATAAGAGGCCGGATCTTAGGAATCACCAGCTGTGACTCAGAAAGGAAGCCGCACTGCATGCTGCAAGGGGTGGATTTGGCTGTGGGCAGCTCGACCCGGTGAGGTTGGTCGAACATTGCAGTTTCACGGCCATTGCCTTTGTTTTTCAACAAACAGGTGCAGACCTTGGGTTTACTTTCTTTTGAAGAGCAACTGTGCAACAGTGGTGGGGGGGGGGTCGTCTGACCCGTGTGGCCGCGAGCTTCGCAAGGTATGCCTACTTCGCAGATGCGCTGGCGTCCTGGAAGCGGAACTTCGCGGAGCGCGTTTTGTTCATCGACCGGGAGCCTTGGCTGTTGCACAGGTCTTGTGCTGAAAGGAATGGGTTTCTCGGGAGACCAAAAGGAAGCCAAGCACTTATGGATGTCCCAGTTGAGACACGCCTTGGGCATCATGGTGGCCAAGCCGCTGGCAGAGAGCCTCAACCAAGGATTTGCAGGACTCTCCACACACTCTGGCTCGCATCACCGACTTTCTCGGCATAAGGCGCGGGAAGTCCGCATCTTTTTTGCGGCTCATGGCTGAGGCTTTGGGCTGTTTGGCGCTGTTTGGATGGTTTTGCCGCTGATCGGGATTTCACGTTTGATCCCCTATGGCGGCACTATGGACAGTTCATAATTGTTGCAGTCTTCTTTGTCCCATTGATTGTCCCATATTGATTGTCCCATTTTGGCACCTGGGTTGGTCATTCTTGTTGTGTCCCTTTGAGACTGACCGCTACCAAAGACGCAGGCCCTTCCCGCAGCACGTGCGCTTCAAGCGCTACAACTCTCGGGGCAGGAAGAGGACGGCCTTGTGCTCTTGGCCGGAGCTCGTACTGGCTATGAAGCTGGGCAAAGACTGGAGGTCTGCTGTTTTTCCTCCCCTTTAAGGATATGGCTGTGGTTGTCAAAACCAATGGGATCCCATTTCGGTTGGTAGGTGAATTCACCACCCATTTTAGGACCTATTTTAGTGGTTGGATTGGGATGTTCACTGGGTGTACGGGATTACGCAGACTTGGAGCGAGAGGGATGTTTCCAGCAATGGCTGCGTGCTCTGTCGAATGCGTGTTGCTCAGGAAAGAGGTGTTCAAGCATGAGTACCGCATCTTGGAGGCACCCCGGTCGAGATGTGCAAACCGCCCTTTTTGTTTTTCCCCCCACTGTGATACTTTTGCCTACGGGGGCTCACTGATCAAATTGCCTTAGATGTCTCCTTCAGTTCCCAACCGCATCGGCAACATCCGTTCCCTGCGAAGCCGCACTCCGCCTTGCTTTGGCCAGAGACGGAGCTGCCAGACCTTTCTGCTAGGAACAGTATTTTTAGCTTCTACCGATTTTTTTTCCTTTTCGTTCCAAGACAACTGTCCTTGCAAGCCATGCACAACTAGATAGACAGATTGAATCTATGACGTATGGAATATCCAGTGAACATTCCAAAAGGGGTTCTGAGGCCAATAACTACTGTCAACATTTGAGGAGGGAAAATATCTTGCACATGATGCACATGTGTGAGGAGATGCCGGAACTTGTAGAGACTTCCTGTGAATCCGGACACGCCAGTTCTGACCAAGCATGATGCTGAACATGACGAGCAATTGTTCAAAGGTTTGCCGCCTTGAGAAGCTAGTTGCGCTTGATTCAGTCACAAGGATTTTGCTGGTATTCATGGTACCTTGGAGTCATTTCCACCCCGGTTATCTATAGATCTTCCCAAACTTGAGCATTGTGCAGTCCATGCCTTGCACGATCAAACATGGTTTAAAGCGCTTTTGACACAACAAACCCTCCAGAATGTGTTTTGGGTATTCCCTAGAGCAAGACACACAAGAGCACATGCAGAGCAAGTAGCGCGAGAAGAGTAAGTAGCACGAGAGTATTCGCAGAGCAAGATGCCCAAGAGGACATGCAGAGCAGGGGTGCGAGAGCGCATGCAAACCAAGATGCGCAAACTTTGCGCTTTGCGCGCGAGACCCTTTGCAGGGATTTGCGTGGTCGACGTGCATCTTTATGCGGTCTGCTTGCTTTGAAAATGACGCCCTACATTCAGAACGACGGGCGCGCGCGAAAGCTTACAGCGAGCAACTTGCAGAGAGGTTCTGCGCATGGAGCTTGCGCAGAGAAGCTTGCGCAGAGCACTTGCGCAGCAAAATCTCCGCTGAGAGCATCTACTTCTTGCAGCCAGCACAAACTTTGTTCCAAACATTTGTTACTGCGAAGCTCATTCAAAGCTCAACCTCCGCAAGTTCTTGAAGCAAATGTGCACCAGGGCGTTGCATTTCAATGCGTGCCTCATCCTTGAAAGAGCGCGCAGACTCAGCGTAGCAGCGAGCCAGGCGTTGCTATTTTTGCGAAAAGCCGCCTGCTCAAATTTGCGCGTGCGCTCTCTCTGAGCGTCCGGCGCTGAACTCGGATGGTGACAAATGTTCTTCGTTCCTCTGGGTGCCGGCGGAGTGCGTTCATGACAAAGCTGGAGGACATCAAATCATTTTATGCTGGCAGTCTGGAGCGTGGGAGGGGCGCAGGCATCGGTCAGACAAAGTCGGTCAGAGAGGCTCGCGCGTTATGTAGACACCGGCAAAGAACGCTAGCGAGAAGATTGCATCAATAAGTTGCATGAGAAGACTTGCAAGAAGCTTGCACAGACAGCTTGCGCAGAGAAAGCTGCGCCGAGAACTTGCGTAGCGACACTTGCGAAGATACTTTTGCAGCTACGGCTTCAAAATCCGCACCAGTGAAACTGCTCACTATATTTCTGCTGTCGGGCCAACCGTTTTTCTAGTTTTTTGTTTTGTTTTGTTTTTTGTTTGTTTGTTTAGGATTCAACCTCGTATACATATTTATATATTATATGATATACTATGTACATATATATCTATAATACATATATATATATATATATATACTATACATATTCTATATTGACTTTTTGGTTGTGTATCCCATACGTAGCCATGGGCAGGAGCTGCTGGGAAACCACGCGGGCGAACGCCTGCGCCGGCGCCTCACGCGGTGCGAGGCGCCGGATGGATTTGAGGAGGACGGATGGCACGCGCCGTGCTCCCCGAGCTGAGCGCTTCGGGGTCGCTAGGCCCAGGTTTGGAATGGTCGGAGCGGGCTCGGGTTCCGGAAGGGTTCGACTGATACCACGTGGGCTTATTCAATTTGTTGCCGTGTCCAAAGTCCCCCACTGGCCAATCGAGTAATCAGGAATGTGTGGCTTTTTGCAGCCCCCATAAAGAGTTGAAGGGCAAAGGAGAAGTGCCCTTTGACTGCCTCGTTTAATGGGGTCCAAGCTGGCACAACAAACAAGCACAATATTCTTTGGTGCTGCTCATGTGAGGTCTGTCAACACCTTGAAAGTGTACAATTTTTCCCCACAGAGGCAGCTATTGGGTGAGTCCACCAATTCGGGGTCTGTTTCGTAACCCCGGGCCCCCAAGGCGTTCTGGGAGGGTTCCTGTGTGTCAGGAGAATCTGAAGTGGCTTGACAGGCAGCCGAAGGTCAAAAGGGACGCGTGCCACTGCTTCTACTGCCCCGGCCAGTCCCATCCACATGTTGCACTATGGTTGATGGGTACGACTCGCCGTGTCGTGAGCGCAGGCACGCTACTCGAGAGTTTTGTCAGGAGCCTGTGAACCTGCGTGCGATTTTGCAGTAAGTGACTTGCGACACAAGTGGGGAGCCTGGCAGCTTGTTTGGACAGGATTGCGGCTCTGCAATGACCATCATGTACAGTAGCCAGAGCCCAAGCTTCCGATTCGTTCCGTGCCCCATGGATGTTGTGATGTGCCGCAAGGGCCTCTAGGTTGCTTTAAAGACAGAAAGGAACAGCACCTGCTTTAGAAAGCAAGTCTGAAAAAGGAACCAAGAGGCTAGAGGTTGATTCCGCTTCCTTTTCAATCATCGTTCGTTTTTCAAAGACTATATAGCTGTTTCCCCTTGGTGTTCGGATCCCGTAAAAGAACGGGGAAGTTACCCAGAAGAGAGCGGCTCACACATCTTCCGCCAGGTCAGCGCAGTACCGTTTGGGTGTCGGCGGCGGCGTACGACAAGACGGCGTTTTTCGGCCTGCAGCGACAGCAGGTGCGGGGAGGGACATGGGGGAGATGTTTGAGAGGGACACAAAAGGAGATCGACAGACTAAAATCTGAAGCAGCTTTGTCTCGTAGGATATGGCCCCCTCAAAATGAGCCCCGGCACCCTTTTTTGCCCTTGAAACCAACCCTCAAAAAGGGGTATCAGGTATCGAACAAGGCCACACCCCGATGGCTGAAGAGTGGGGGATGCAGAAAAATCTCTCCAGTTAGAGCCAGGCTCTCCACATTTGTGCAGATTCCGCGCCGCCTTGGCATTTACCAGACCGCTGGGTCCGGGCCTCGGAGACACGAGTCTGCATTTGCAAGGCGCAAGCAACGGCCCGGGCTTCCCCTTGCCTCAAAAAGGCATGCAGTCTTGCACTTGCGCAAGGTCAATTCACAACTGGCCAGGGTTTGTCAGCCAATGTATCAACCTGTCGAGCTATCGAGAGGTGTCCCAAGCCGCCAACCCATAGCCATTTGAACAGCACCCAACGCCCAGTCCGTTGTGAGCAGGCAGGTTTACTCGTCACACATCACGTTGTTTGTGAGTGAACGACCCAAGTTGGTCATGCGAGTCTTAGGCATTTAACAGGTTTTGCTCGCAGGAATCCGCAGACTTTTCTCAGATTCAGGCGTTGGATGGGATCAAGCGCATCGGCGACGTGTGCGAAGACACGGATGAGGTGCCGTGGCTCGCCGACGTTACCATGAAACTCACCTTGGCAGACGCTGCATCAAAGCCAAGACAACATGAACGGAAAACAGCCTGCCGCATTCTGATTGAAAGCAACACGCACTGGAAAGTGACAGCTGTTGAACCTGTCAAAACCATGAGTCTCCAGAAAGCTGTATTTAACAACTCGAAATGACGGGGACAAGACATAGGCCGATGCTTAGAATGTGTCGAGCAAGCCACTGCTTGTGGATTGGATCTCCAGAGCTTTGAGTTTCCACACCTGCTGTTGAGTCAATTCATGCTGACGGAAACAAGAACTCAGGCATGTGCTTTGAAGTAGCCCCGGAGCCCACGATTGGGAAGCCTTTCATCAATACCGCAGGGGAGTTTCTGGTACATCAAAGTGACATCTCCCTAAATCGCCTGCTAAGGGGTTCAAAGGTCAACACCCGTCAAGAGATTTCTCTCGAGAATCCCTCAGAATTTTCAGTTGAATGGACCCAGTTCCAGCTGCAAGAAAAACGACGAGTGCAAATTCCAACCGTTTTCTGCAAACGTTGATAACTAGCACAGCAGTCACTTTGATGGACCCAGATGCCGGGTCTCAATGCAAACACACATGAGTCGCAGCAAGTGCCCATTCCTGACGAAAAAGATACAATGGACTATTTTGCAACATGCGGGTGCGACCAAGGCCGGCAGTGCACGTGAGCAACGGTCAATATTCATCATCATTTTCTGCAGGGTGGGGTGCACTAATTCAGTGGGTTGGGACATAGGGGCTACTCACTGCAAATCCAATGCCGGTTGGTTTCCACCCCTACATCCCTTGCGCTTTCTGCTTGGGTCCCACTGAACATGGAGCCTGCCCCTACCACCGTCCCCCTGTTTCAAAAACATATTTACTGGTGGTTCCACAAATTCATGAGTGTGCGTTAGAGCCAGTGCCTGCAACTGGCCATGGCGCTTAACAAACAAGAACTGCTCGTCGGGGCAGAGTCCCAAATGGAGGGCATTTTGGGGGTCCCCTCAAAACGACACCCTCAACCCACCAAACAGCTTGGGTCGGACACCTGCACTGCACATACATCGCGCAGGCGGAGCCTGAAGCAGGTCCTTACCTCGAGGCTTGTTGAGTAGGTGGACCTCCCTTTGGCATTTTGAAGCGAAACAAGAACCAACTCCTTTTTCGGAGGTCACTGCTGTAAGGAACTGGTTGATAAAGAGCAGGTGTCCCGTTTTACAAACCATCCACCACGTTTTGGACTATTTGGTTGGCACAACGTATTAAGTCGTCCTGGGTTCATGTGAAACCCAAACATGTCAAGCACAGCGGCAGAAGGGGATCTGAGAGAGGCTGGTGCGGAGAGTGAAGAGGAAGACTTCCAGCTGCAGCAGGCCGAAGCTTGAGCAGTGCCTGTGTGTCAAACTTTTGTTTGTTGGTTCGTGCGTCTGTGTGTCCTGCCTGCCTGCCTGCTTGTTGCCTGGCTGCTTGGGTCAAATCCCTGCAGGTTCTGCAGAGAAGCCGGCTGGAGGTGACAGGCTGTGACCAGGCGGGGATGACAAAACCCAAAATGCACTGCGAGCATGTGGCGGGCAGACCAGCGGATCATCCTCAAGCTCGTCCAAACCCAACCCGCAGCTAGCTGCCTTGCAGGCCGCGTTGCCTGCATAGCTTTCATATGGAAGACCCACCAAGCAGTTGGGTTCGTGAGAGCCGAAGCTGTGGCGTGAGCTCGTGAGCGGTGCTCAGGAGTTGACCGGTTGCAGCCTGCTCCAAGCAGAGCAGGTGCGCAAGAATCAAACCTGAAGGTTGGTCGGCTGTGCAGAAGGCAACCTTGGCGCTGATACCATGAGTTTTGGTTGCACCCTATCGCATGAGTCGTTCAGCGCTTTTCCTTCCCACTGAGCCCCGAAATTGGGTGATTTGGGTATGGGTCAAACTTTACTCTACTGGGGCATTCTTGACCCACACCCATTTTTCTTTCATCTGCACGCAGATTCCGGCGAACAAAACAAACCGCTCCGCCCAGGCCCTGGCGACCACGGGCAGTATAGATGCAGCTGCCGAGGAGAGGGCAGTCATGGGGCTGCCCAGCGAACCTGAATATACCGACATATAGGCTGAACCCCCCCCCCCCCAATTATTCTTGTTTGTGTTCTGTCCCATTCGGAAATCCAAATGAAAGATGTCCCGCGTCTGGTTTGTGTCCCATCTGTTTTTTTTTTTTTTTTTTTACAACTCCATTCCTTTTGTTTCAACATGGAACTTCTATCAATATTTCGTTGCTGTTGGATTCTACTAGTCGATATCCTTTGTGAGAAGGTAGTTGCTGCTTGGGAGGCCTTACTTGGCTGTGCGCCGAGCTCAGCTTTTCCAAAGCCTTTGCGCGAGCTCCATTCAGTTCCAAGCAAAGACATAGGTTGGTGTTTTTGTTTGTTTGTTTGTTTGTTTGTTTTTTGAAGGATTGCATTGGTTTAGGTTGGTTGAATGGAAACCAACCCACCAATTTTGCCCACCTCGCTTGACGTGGCCGAGGCAGATTCTGATTTGCCGGCGACGAGGCTCGTTTTGTTTTGAACCCTGCGTGCCCAACGGATCTCCATTACTGCCACTACGTCCAAGAGAAATAGGGGTTAAAGCACCTGTATGGCCACCAACACGCGTATGGCCACCAACACAAGGGTGGACATGTCGTAGAGTGTGTTGGTCGCTCGTCGGGATGCCTGGGTTTGCAGGGATTCCGACAGCCCCAAGAAGAGGCCGGAGTTGGAGCAGCAGCCTGAGCACGGTCCGCTGGATGTCCTCTTCCAGCGGTTTTAAACATCTTTGGCCAATTAAACTGACTGCCAAAGCACCTGTTGCTCGGCAGCAGCTCAACATGGATCTACTTGTGACCCAGAGTCAATGATTTTTGTGATTCAAGAGCGTTGCTCTTGAGTCAACTTCCTTTCGGTGGTCAGACATGATCCCTGAAAGCGCCCAAGAACCCATATTTTTTGTTCTTCAACCGTTGAACAGGGGGGGCTGACATACGACCAAATCACCATTAAGCAGTTGGATTTCTTGCCGCAATTCCATGTCAATTGTGGGGAAGGATCTGGGTATGGGTCAAAATGAAGCCACCAGAGGACCGCTGGTTTTAGTCTTTGTTTCCATTTACCCGCGTTCCATCTTGGGTACCCATTTTTGACCCACATCCATATGGTCCGTGGCTCAGCATCTGAGGCTGGAGGACGATCGGCTCGCCAAGAAGCCGAAGTCTGCACCCCAGTGGCGAGACGTGGTTGAGCTTCTCTGTCACTGCTGGGGCCCCTAAAGTGAACATTTCGAAGGGTTCTCAAAGTTTCTTTCGGGCGTTTCCCTCAGTCTAACTTGAGTGATCCATGACATCTGAGGTCGGAAGCGGGCCTGAGACCCAAGGTATGCCAACAGATGCAAGATATGTTTGGCATTGCCTGTTCCGCTCGGAACGCCTATCTTGACATTACTTTTTGTTGTAATGTCTATTCTGCAGCCCCAAGCCCTAACGTCGTTGCAACATAGACCCCAAGTGTCAACCGTGTGGGGGGTCCCCGCCACTTTGAGCCACGCTCGTTTGTGTCGCGAGGCACAAATTGCCAAGCTGGCGCAGCGAGTGGTCCTGGATTCCAAGTTGTCTGGCGAGGCGGGGGATGCACGAGTAGCCAAGGGCGCGTTATGTCCAAGGAGACAAACCCCCAAGCCTGGGTTTTCAGCTCCATTTTGCCTTGTGGTTTATGGCCCAAAGCAGGCTGAGGTCCAAAAACAGAGTCCCTCCTGGCAAAAGCTGAGAACACATTTGTGGATGTGCACAAATTGCGGAGGAGAGCTGGCAAAGAAGCTGAAAAGCTCCAGCGCCGTCATCGACCTGTGTGACTGAGGGGGAAAAGCGGCGGTGCAAAGCTTGGGAAGCTGGATGTGATGAATCGACCTTGTTCCGCTGAAGTTTACGCAAGGCACCTAACATGGGCTCCCCAAACGGAGATTCCTCTTAACGTGATGTGTTTGTGGGTATCGTGTTAATCTGCACTTCCATTAGATTTGTGCTATGAGCGCGGAGGGAGTTGGATCAGTGTAACATACCTCTCTGTCCTTCTTGCTCCAGTGTTATAGTATTAGGTTTACCTTGGGCCCCTCTAGCTGGGTGCGTTACCATGACGTGGCGATGGGAAATCTGGCTGCTGGCGACCGTGAATGGACTCGACACAGAAACCGCTTGCAACCTGCAAGTCCGACACCAGGAGGCGTTGCTGACTGACTCGAATGCCAAGTTGTGGTCGATCCCATGGCAACGCTTTCACGAATGCCCGAAGAAACCTCGGAGGTCTGTGCAGAATCTCCAAATGGAAGCCTCTTCCGCGATTCTCAAGCCTCAGTGTCACCCCGGCGAGACGCTCATCGGGCGCTTCATTGGGGATGCATACAAATTCAGCTGCTGCTCTGCAGGCGGGGCCCATGATGTCGGCGCATATGTTTGCTTGTTTTGTTCTGCCGCGTCGTGTTTGGTGCAGGTGAGCAATGTGCAGGCTGCACAGAGATTCAAGACGGCGTGTGCCGGCAATGCTCCTCAGGCTATGTCAAGCAGAGCATTCCGATCCTGAACAAAAGCAAGTGCTTTATTTGCGATGACCTGCCGCGATGGACGGATGCCCAGGGCCGAACATGTGATGACTATGCGAGCTTGTGCAACGGCAGCTGGCCAAGTCCTGAAGTGGACCAGGCATTCCAAGGAGTCCGCCCGAGTGATGCGTGCTGCGCGTGTGGGGGCGGCAATGTGTTCCCCACCCCAGTGTACATGCCGCTGGCCGGGTCTGTGCTCCACCACTCCCAGGTTGTGAACGAGACACCGGTGCCTTTGACCGCAGAAGCCATCGAGGTCGAGGAAGGCTGTGGCCTCGCGGCCGCCGGGCTGCGCATCGCGTCCTCCGGCCCTGGGCTTGGTGGCGTGAGCGGCGTGGTGGGAAAGGATGCGCAGCCCGTGCACTGCTCCGCTACTGTTGTGCAGGAGTGAGAAACGTGAGCTTTTGGGCCCGTGTCGATTGGGTTGGCTTTAGGTGGGGGTGTTTAAAGGGGACTCTGAAGGGGGACATAAGGATATGGACAGTCTCTGAACGAATATCCTTTTTTTCAGACATCATTCCTGAGGACCCAATGCGTGGGCTCTACTTCACCGTGGATTTGGACCTGGCCGTGTCCGCCTTCTCCTACGGCCGCGCAGTGGTCAGCTTCAAATCTTGGGGCCTGCAGCCGGTGGCCGCGGAAGAAGCCCAGAAGCCGGTGGAGAAGGCCAAAGCTCTGGGGCTCCAGGAGAGCAACTCAAACTGATGAAAGTTGCGCCAAACGCCGCAAAATGAAAAGGGGCCCCGGTTGAATTGTCAGGAGTTCTCCCTGGACTGCAATCCGACCTGCCCGTGGCTCGAGATCGATGCGGCTGGCACCTTGCAGTATCTCCCTACCGGGGAGGGGAATCTGGGCGCAGGGGTCCAGGACTTCCCCGGCATGCCCGCTTGTAGCTGCGAGGTCTCAGCGCTGAATGCGTCCAACACCTCCAAGAGCCTCACCACCAGCTTCGTGGCGCTCCAAGCCCGTCTTTGGCAGGGTGGCGCTTACGAGGCCTCGGCGGTAGAGGCCCGGGTCGGCGAGGCCATGGTGCCCCTGCAGCTTCAGGAGCTGCTGAGCCCCGGCCTGCGGTTCTACACCCGGGCTGGCCACACCACCAACCTGCAGGTCGTGGAGAACCTCACGTCGCACCAGCGCTTTGCGGTGCCTAACGCCGTACCCCCAGCGGTTCTGGATGTGAATTGCACAGGTGCAAGCTTGCAGCTTTCCTGGTCCCGCAGCACTGGAGACGTAGAGCTGGGGGGCCGGTTGGCTTTCAACCTGGACCCCAAGACCGGCGCTTTGTCCGGCACCCCATCTGCGGATCTGCTGCAGGCGACGCAAGGCCAGGCCAGCCTGCAGGTTGCCTGTCAGGTGGCGCTGGGGGGCGATTTCTACGACCGGGAGCTGCCGGTGGCCACCGTGGCGGTGAAGCTTTTGGACGACACCTGCTGGGTTCCAAGTCAGCCTTTGGCTGCAGTCTGGAAAAATGCCGCCGCCTCGTCGCAGGCCGCCTGTGTCCGGCTCTGCCGGGTGCGGGCCAACTGCGCTGCAGCGTCCTGGGCGAACAGCATTTGCTGGCTGGCGGTCAGTGATGGCACGGAGCCAAGGGTGGTGCCAGAGGCTTTGATCCGTGTCAACGATTGCTCGAAGCAGAAGGCTGACTTGGATCTGAAGGTGCCAGGTGCCCTGTTCGCGGCCGGAAAGTTTTCAGCCACCAACAATTACAAGGACCAAGTCACTTTCTCGAGACCTGGGCCGACTCCTGAGAGGCAGCTTCTGCTGGCTCATGCCTCCGTTGTGCAATCGGAGCTGCCGGCGGTCTGCCAGAATGCTTCCTGGCTGCTCGTTCACACCAACAGCTCCGACTACGAGGATGCCAGCACGGCGGCGCCCGAGTTCTTCGGCGGAGTCCTGGCTTGCGCAAGCGGGGACATCGTAGACCTGGCCTTCGCCTTGGGGACCGTCAAGATGTTCTGGAATTTCACAGAGGCTCACGCTGGCTCGCACCTACAGGATGCCACGCTCAGCATTGCTGTCCCCTCGTGCTCCAAGCCGGACCTGGCGCCGGGCATGGTCGCCGGAACCCCCGAAGAGGCGGCCTTGTACTCGCTCCAGGAGTGCGAATGCTTTGGGGAGGCCTATGCAACTACTGCTCCAGTGGATGCAGATTCCAACGCAGCAGTGTCACGAAGTGGAGCTTTTAACATTGGACCGTTGGCCGATCAGTTGATTTTCTCTGGCCCCTATACCTGCGAGAGTGAAGCAAAGATCACCAGCCTGCGCAACGCAGACAGCACTGTTTGCCAAGGGGAGTGCCACAGGAACAGCGCTTGCCATTTCTATATTTCCGAGAAGGCCACTTGGTTGCGCCGTGACGTTTAACCTTCTAGCCTTTCAGACAATGACTATTTGCCCACTCAGGCCACCAGCCTGTGCACTTTGTTCAGTCGCTGTGATTTCCTGCAGTTGGTGGACCTACCGGCGGCCAACGAGCTGTGGGCGAAGCCCCCGCCGGACAACTTCTGCCGTATAGCGGACCCCGAGAGTTGCTGGGAAGCTCGGGTCAAATACGTTTTTGGGGGTACCCTTGGTTTCGTTTAAAGGGAGGCCCAAGGAACGCCGAAATCCATTTCGGGGTCCGAATCCCTATTTTGACACGCCCAAGGAATCACGATCGGGAAACAAAAACCCACCAGTGGCATGGTCAGAAGTTCCTGGTTCCAACTTCAGGAAAGCGTGCAGCGCCGCAGTTTGCTGAGTTTTACGCCCTCCGATCTCCCGACTTGCCTCTTCCAGACTCAGTACGATGCCTGTGATGCTCTGCAGATTCTGAGCGGCGGGAGCGCTGGCAAGTGCTACAGGCGCGGGGAACAACAGGTGTGTTTAGAATTAGAGCAAAGGCCTCTTTTCAACAAGGTCAGTTCTTCAACCTTGTGTTATTGTTGTTTGCCTGTTAACTTTTGGCCTTGTTTCTGCTCTGAACGACCAATCGTAGCAATGAAACTCTCAAATCTTCGCTCACGAGCTGACCGCGCCGGCTAGCAAGTGAGTCCCATGAAGGGGACTCGTTGCTATGCAGCATTATGCACGGACTCAGCACTTCCTTGGAAGAGCCCCGCATCGCTAGGGACCGTACCAGCCTCGCTCGTATGCAGACTGTCTCCCTTGAAAGAACCTCGCTCCTTTCAAGATCATGTCCCTGGAAAGAGCCTTGCTTTTGACAAGACCCTGTTTTGTCCTTTTTTTCCCGAAAGTACTGCGAAGGGTTGCACAGCTCAACTGCATAGGGAAAGTAGACAGTGAAATGCGTAGAGGTATGCATAGGGAAAGTGCACAGTCAGATGCATAGACGCATGCAAAAGGCAAGTACAAAGTGAAGTGCATAGATGCATGCACAGGGAAAGTAGACAGTGATATGCATAGAGGCATGCACAGGGAAAGTAGACAGTGTAACGCATAGAAGCATGCGCAGGGAAAGCAGACAGCGTGATGTGTAGAGGCATGCATAGAGAAAAGTAGACAGTGAAATGCATAGAGGCACGCGCAGGGAAGGTAGACAGTGAAATGCATAGAGCCACGTGTAGGGCAAGTACTGAGGCAAGTGCGTAGATGCATGCGCGAGGAAAGTAGACAGTGAAACGCATAGAGGCACGCGCAGGGAAAGTAGAGAGCGTAATGCGTAGAGGCATTCGTATGGCAAGTGCAGAGTGAAACGCGCAGATGCACGCGCAGGGAAAGTAGACAGTGAAATGCGTAGAGGCATGCGCAGGGAAAGTAGACAGTGAGCTGCAGAGAGCCATGCGTAGGGCAAGTGTGAGGCAAGTGCATAGATGCGCAAGGAAAGTAGACAGTGAAATGCATAGAGGCATGCGCAGGGAAAGTAGACAGTGTAATGCGTAGAGGCATGCGCAGGGAACGCAGACAGCGTGATGCGTAGAGGCATGCGCAGGGAAAGTAGACAGTGAACTGCAGAGAGGCTTGCGCAGGGAAAGTGCGCAGTGAAATGTGTGGTAATCCTGCATTCCTTCTCGCACGAGCGCAGCTTGCACGAGGAAACTTGCGTGCTAACTTAAGATTATCTTAAGGCGGCGCGGTGCGACCAAGCGTGCTCTGCGAAAATGAGACCCTCTCAGGGATCGGCCTGGTCGATGTGCAAACACCCCTCAACAACTGAGGGTCTTGTTTTGCGTTTTCTTGCGGCGCGCGCGTGGCCCTCTGCAGGGATGGGCGTGGTCAAGGTGCAGAAACTCGAGTTTGCGTTTTCTGCTTTGTGCGTGCGACCCTCTGCATGAATCGTGCGTGTCGGATCGCTCTCTCTCTCTCTCTCTCTCTCTCTCTCTCTCTCTCTCTCTCTCTCTCTCTCTCTCTCTCTCTCTCTCTGTCTCTCCCTCTCTCTCTCTCTCTCTCTCTTTCTCTGTCTCTCTGTCTCTATGGCCCCGTGCGAATCTTCGCGCTTCACGCGCGACCGTGTGCGGGGATTGTGCGTGTCAGATGGGCCCTCGGTGCAGTCCCGTGTGAATCTTCGCATATCTTCGCGGTCTGCGCGACCGTCTGCAGGGATCAGGCTGTAAAGTCGCAACTTTTAAGTCCAAAAGTAGTGCGCGAAGTACGTCTTCGCAGCTCCGGCTGCAAAGTCGTAACTGTTAAGTACAAAAGTAGTGCGCGAAGTACGTCCCCACAGCTCCGGCTGCAAAGTCGGAAAGTCGACAGCGAAATGCGTAGAGGCATGCGTAGAGAAAGTGCGCAGAGAACTGCATAGAGGCATGCGTCGGGCAAGTACAGAGTGAGATGCATAGCGGCATGCATAGAGGCATGCGTAGGGGCAAGTGTAGAGTGAATTGCATAGATGCATAGGCAGGGAAAGTAGACAGTGACATGCATAGAGGCTGCAGAGAGCCATGCGTAGGGCAAGCTGAGGCAAGTGCATAGATGCGCAAGGAAAGTAGACAGTGAAACGCATAGAGGCATCCGCAGGGAAAGTAGACAGTGAACTTCAGAGAGGCGTAGGGCAAGTGCTGAGGCAAGTGCATAGATGCATGCGCGACAGTGAAATTGAATAGAGGCATGCGCAGAGTAGACAGTGAAATGCGTAGATGCATGCGCGCAGAAAGTAGACAGTCAAACGCATAGAGGCGTGCGCAGAGTAGACAGCGAGATGCATAGAGGCATACGTAGGGGAAGTGCAGAACGAAGTGCGTAGATGCATGCGCAGGGAAAGTAGACAGTGTAAGGCATGCGCAGAGTAGACAGTGAACTGCATAGAGGCAAGCGCAGGGCAAGTGCAGAGTGAAGCGCGTAGAGGCATGCGCAGGGAAAGTGCAGAGTGACATGCATAGAGGCATGCGTAGGGCAAGTGCAGAGTGAAGTGCGTAGATGCACGCGCAGGAACAGTAGACAAGCATAGATGCCCTGGTTGATCTGGCCGCTGTGGTTGGAGGGGACTCTACACAGGAAGAGAATGGGGTTGTCGTTCTACCCCATTCTACTCGCAAAAGGAATGGGACTCTACACAGGCATAGAATGGGACTTTTACAAAGAACCCAATTCTGACTGAATAGATCGGGCCCCGTTCCATTCCTGTGTAGAGGGGCTCTATGCAGAGTGGGGCTCAGTACAGAAATAGAATAGGACTTTTGGGACTCTACGCAGGAATAGAACGGGACCCCGCAGGAATAGAATGGGACTCTATACAGAAATAGAATGGGACTCACACGGAAATGGGGCGAGTAGAATGGGACTACCGACAATTAAATTTTTATATCCCAATTCTATTCCTGATAGAGCCCCATTCTATTTTTCTATTCGCAAAGAGAATGGGAGAGTCCTATTCCATTCCGATGCCCATCCTATTCCTGTTTTGAGTCCCTGGGATTCTACACAGGATTCTATACAGGAATATGGGACTTTACACAGGAATAGAATGGGGACTCTAGAACGGAACCGAGTGGGACTCTGTTCGCGAATAGAATGGAACTCTACATCGTGCTATTCGCGAATACAATGGGATTCTGTACAATTTGATTTCTTATCGTGACTTTGGCCCCCCGCTGTCGTGATTTTGGCCTCTTCATAATCGTTCTTTTCTTCTTATTCTTCTTGTTTTTTCCTTCCTTTGTTGTGGTTTTATTTTAAAATTCTTATCGTGGTTACGGGCCGCCCTCAGCAGCGTTGATGCTGATGACGCGGGAGCACTGCGCTACCCACCAACTCACCCCGGATGCACAGCATAGAACGCAGCGCAGGCCGCTTGAAAGACCTGGTTTTGATCAACCCTACCCTTGAGGTGCCAGTATTTCAATGTTTCCTCTTCGTTTGCCCAGCAAAGCCTGAAGAAGGTGCCGTTCCCGGAGGAGTCCCCGGCGGGCGCGCAGATCCAGGTCGGCTGCAACTACACCAGCCGCCTCTTCGCCGAGGATGGCTTGAGCTGGGAGCCTGGGAAATCCAGCACCTTCACGTGCGTCAGTGGGGAATGGGTGGGCGAGGACGGCGCATGGCAGAGCTTGGCGAATTTGAGCTGCCGTGCCTGCCTTCAGTTGGGCACGCCCAGGCTGCAGCGCCTGTCAGCTCTGCAGATGCCCTCGATCTACTTTTTGGAGCACCGGCTGGCGCAGTTCGCGAAGATTGCGGGCGAGGGCCAGGATGGGTGGGGCGCCTGCCCACACGCCGGATTTCTGACTGCGAGCCCACTGCTATCAGGTGCAATGTGCCTGGACGTTTCGGGGCCCAGCTCTGTGAAGCTGGGCTCCAGCTGCAATGCGAGCTGGTGGTTGGATGGCCACCTGCGGCTCCGGGTGAAGTCCGAGGAGTTGGACGACACCACGGGGCCGTGGTGTCTCTGCTCTGAGGGCTCTGAGGCTTCTCATCTCGCAATCTGCGAGTGCGGTGTCGTGGAAGAGCTGGGCAGGTGGACGCTTAACAACGGGCGCCTGGAGCAGTTGCGTGGCTCACGATGCGTGCTCAACAACCAAGGCAAGCTAACCACGAAAGCATGCCCTTTGAAGGATGACAACAGATTCCAGTGGCACTTCAACGGAGGAGACTGCATTTTTGGCATGAACCTTGTGGACTCCGCTGAATTAACCTGGAATGTGTCTTTACCCTCTCAATCGGGGGTCGAGTCCCTTTTGACTGAGATACGCTACCTACCTGTCGTAGCATATGCTGGAGTGCAGTATTACTTCGTGCAAAATTCAGCGTACTGCTTGGAGGCAAGTGGTAACCAGGTGAAAGTCAGCTACGCGTCTCCATGCTCAACCTCATGGCTGTACGAGAAGCAGCATGTGTCCATTTCTGGCACATCTGCCTATCTCAGGGCGATGCCCAATGGCACGGTGGTGCTCCAAGAATTTGTTTTTGGAGCATCTGGCTTTTCATGGGAGTGGAGCCAGGGGAGTCTGAAGAATCAGGACGGCAAGTGTCTTGCTGCTTTCAGAGACGCGACTGTAGAGACGTACGTCAACTATAGCTCTTCTGTGACAGCTGCCGACGACGACACTGATCTTTATGATGATGGCAGGAACTTCCGGTACAGTTTCGGGTGCAACCGGGAGAACAACTTTATTTCCCAATTGTGGTTGCCAGAGAAGGCATTGATGCAACAAGGGGGCAATGAGCAACACGCTGCAAGCACGCAGTGCGAATATCTGCAAGGCTACAACCAATGGTGGAAATCCTGCAAAGAATATGTTCTTTTTCAGGACTTTGACGGGGGCAAGTATGTCCGCCACGCTTTAGTGGACATAGAGGCTTTGGACTGCGATGCAGGATATGCGCTCTCGGGTCTCTCCATGCAGTATGAGCATGATGTCACTCCGCCCTTTCAGGTGGGCACAGAACCCATCGTCTCCCTAATGGCCAGGATCCTGTTAGGATTTGTTTGGTTCTTGGGAGAGATGGTGCTACAGGTAGTGCATGTCCGCTGGCATGCATATAGACATTCGGTGCGTTTCGCTGTGACGCAGTTTCTTCTCTTTTGGGTCCCATTCTTTGGCTGTTGTTAGACTTCTTCTTCTCAGGATTGTTGATCAGGCCCACGCTTGGGTGAATCAACCTGTAGCCCTAACGCAACATTCTGCTGACACTATTGCATCTTGACGATCATTTCAGCGTGATCTCTGCGGTTATGGTTGCTTTTTGCCGAGACCATTGCTTGTGGCTTGTGAAATCGCAGTGCCTGTCAGGTGTCATGGACATGCTGCCCCTTGCCATCAGAGATGCCAGCAATGAATGTGCCGGTGTCGTCGAAGACTCAATGGTATGGTACAGTGAGCTGCCCGCCGAATTCTGTGCTAAGCGTCTTCACGTTCAATGATTACTTCGAGTTCGCTGGGGAATGCACTTCTTTCGAGACGATCGTGTCCCCAAACAACCCCTACTTTCCCGTGGGTGCCTGGACATTTCCCCAGGCGGGAAACGGCCAAAAAGGCAACAGTTTCCAGTTTGCCAGTTTCGCATTTTGGGCACATGCGGTCATTCAAACCCTTTGGGTGCTGGTTTATTGTTTGCTTTCTCAGTTTCTCAGCTAGGAACTCACAAAATGTCGTGAGGTTCAGGTTGCCAACTGCGATTACAGGGCTGCTTCCTGGCAGAAGCTGCCAGCGCCAAAGTCCAAGAACCCTCGAGCCTGCGCCCTGTGCCAGACACTGGGCCGCTGTGAGGCCACGTTGTCCGTGCAGAATCCTGAGCCCCCCACCTTTCAGGCGCACGCGGGCGCCTG